AATGCAATAAAGGTATCGATATCCTATAGGGGGTATCGATACCCCCTTAAGATGAAATTTTCAGATTGTTGTAGGGGTACTGATACCTAGGGTATCGATACCTATTATAATAAGAATGGAAATTACCTTTCCTTTAGCTTAAGAATTGGAAGATTAGAGTATACAATTGGATTACTAATATCTATAAATGTATAATTATGTAGATAGTGAACGTAAGCTTGTTCCGAAACAATCGAAGGATTAGGATCGAGTCAAATCAAGCAAGGCTAAGGTGAGTGCATATCCTAGAGAATTGAATTGAGATAAGGCTTGCGATAAGTCTATCTCTATAATTAAGTTTATGATTTCATATTCATGTACATGCATAATATATATGTGTTAATGTTATAGTGATGCCATGCATAATTCATTCATGATTAACATGATATTATATGAATGAATGACATTATTAGAGAATCCTTCTAGGTATGAAATAATGGAAATAATCATATGAAGTGACTTATGTGTTTACATGGACAATGATGAAAGAGATATGAAATGAGAAAGGTATTGGTAATTAAGCCCATGTTATTTATATGAGAGCTGTAGGTAATTGGCATGTCAAGAGTCGAGGGATTATAGTGGTCCTTCGGGATATAGTGGTCATTCGGGACATAGTGGTCATTCGGGACATAGTGGTCATTCGGACATAGTGGTCATTCGGGACAAATATTCATGCCCCTAGTGGGATTTTATTCGAGTTGTGGTCATAGCATTGTGCAAAACCTCAGTGTACTCGCGTACCTTCTGTTCTCAATAAAGTACATGGGCATTCAAAGATAAATTAAAAGAAAACTCTTATGACACATAATTGTTCATTCATGCATATCATACTTATATGTCATAATGGGATATCTACAGGTGCATTGCAATGTCTTAGTGGATTGATAGTAGTGTGTATTCATGATATTATTGTTGTATGCTTATTTTATGCCTCACTAAGTCTGTGACTTAGCGTGTAAGTGATTTATACGTAGGTACCAAGAATTCAGAATAGCAAAAATAGGGGTGACAAGAACGACATCATTGCTAGAAGATCATATCAGAAGTAACTAAGAAAGTATGTATTTTGATTGTGTATATTGTGTTGGCTTGTAAGAAAAGTGTTAGTTACGAATGCTCTGATCGAATTGTCTTGTTTTGGTTAACTTATGTAAAGTAACAATGTTATTTTAATGAAAGTTTTAAATTTTCTTGTTTTTCGTCAAGAGTCAAAGTTTGAAAAGTCAATGTGACACCTCAGACTCGTATCCGGGTCGGGTACGGGTTGGGGGTGTTACAAAAAGGGATTAAATTTTAACTTGACCCTTGAATTTTAGATAAAATACTAATTTAATCCTTAAATCCAGTCAACGTTCATGTTATCGAATGATGCTAATCACCTTTGTTGATCAACGTCGACTGTCGTCATCAATCATCGTTGATCGTCCTCGCTAATGATAGTTACACCCCAAAATTTTCAATTCCCTTCTTTTTTTACTTTCTAGGCATGAATTTAATGTTTATTTCAATAAAAAAAAATATCTCGAACTTTATAAACGTAGTCTAGAACCCTTTAATTATTATTTTTGTTAAAATAAGTCTTTAAACTAGTATATGTAATCATTCTAAGTTATAAACTTATTTTTATAGGATGATTTATAAACTTATTTTTATCAAAAAATAGTTTAAGGACTTAAGATAAAAAAAACATAATTTAAGGGATTTTTTTAGTTTAAGCCAAAAAGTAAATACATGTTTTTTCTATAAATAAACACATTATTGTATATAATTTATGATAATTTGGTGAATGTATTTGTGTGTTAGATGGTTAATTTATATTAATGCATCTGTAGCATGGTAGTTAATAGTTAAATTCTAATATATATGCATATAGATACAATAATACTTTGTGCATAAGATTCTTTTTTAATAATATCGGATAATTATAAGAGTGATATATGTTCGGCTTGTTCAGGGTAGACATGTCAACCATGAAATCCGAATTGCTTTATATTAGTTGTTCATTTTACTATTGGTGTCTATCCTGAATTTTTTTTTTGATAAATAAAAATTTTATTACCCAAAGAAAAGTCAAAATACAAAGCAAAAACAACCAATCACCAATCACAAAACATTTACAGCCTACTTACAAAAAGAATGATCGGTTAAGCTATACCCCAAGCATTACAAAGATTGATATTAATACTATCTAAACGGTTAATATTCTTTCCTCGAAGTTTTATATTATTAATATATATGTGTTTACCCTCAAAAATATTTTTTGATCCATCACTGTGCATATATATACAGACACAAACAAACATGAAATCTCTAAAATAAATAATATTTTTTTTATCGAAGTCTCAATAACTCTACGCATAAAATGTTAAATGTGCAAATGTTTATTTGGTAAGTTTGTAAAGAAGTATGAACATTGTGTTGCTAATACGAATGAAGTACATGTTTAATAGACTTTTCTAATGGGTATTAGTAAGCTAAGTAATTTGTATGGAGATGATCAATGATTGAAAATTTGTCTGTATAACGAGAAATCTGTACGATATGAACTTATATGCGATTTATTTATTGAACAAATAATGTATGTTTAGTGATTTTAAATATTTGAATTATATTTAAAAAATAGTTTAAGAGTTATTGTTGTTCCTGTAATAAACTCAATTTATCAATTTTATATCTATCGTTTTTTTATTAATTTAGTCATCGAAGTTGTTTAGAATGTTTATCCTAACCCTCAAAGTCCGTTTTAACTAACAGTTCGTTAGTTTATGCGTTTATCAACAACAATGATTTTTAAATTAGTCAATATTACAAATGTGACTTGATGATGACGTGACAATATAAAAAAATAAATAAAATATTTATTAAATATAACAGTTAGAAAAAATCCCCAAAATTTTGACCTAATCCTTAATCTTATTGAAATAAATAATATTATTTTGGAAATTATTCTAATCATTGTGTTTAATAAAATATTTTAACCTAATCACTTAATCCAAAGACGCATAAGCCTCACAGTTCTGTTAGTTAAAACGGTCAACAGACTCCAAGGGTTAAGATTCATCTTAAACAACTTCGATGGCTAAACTGATGCAAGAAAACGATAGAGAAATTGAATTTACTATATAACAACAGTAACTCTTAAGCCTTAAAATGTTATTTACGACTTAAGAATATATTTGAAGTATTTCTTGAAATTTAAGAAAATCATTTTTATACTTTGAAACCTAAACTTCAGTTTGAAATAAATTAAAAATTAAAATTCTAGAATACATTTTCACTTTCGAACTTAAGGTTGGGTTTCGAAGCCTAATTTTAGGTTTCGATACCCAAAATTCTTTAATTTGAAAAAAGCTCCATTTAAAACTTTTTTTATATTACGGAATGTTTTATAATCCTCACATCTGATAAGTTAAATAATATAGTCCTTCAAATGATAATTGAACTATGTTCCTATGATTAGATGTTTATTTAATTTAAAATCAATTAATATATTTTTCTTGACAATTAGTATGATATATTTATTTCAATTGAAGTAAAATTTTAGTGCTTATTGATTTTTGTCAATATGCCTGAAATTCTTTAAAATGTTTTTGGTATTTTATTCCAATTTAGTTATGTACTTTTTAAAGTAGTTTGATTAAGATGGATAAGTGTCTTATAATATCTTCATATCTTTAAAATTCTAGCGAAAGTTGAACGCATCTACCATAGCCTTTAGATTGCGGATTTTACTTTTCGATTAGATCTTCTTTTGTAATATATTTTGGAGTCAATAAGTTAGAATAATTTAGAGTCGAAATGTTAAAATTTTGGACCCATTTAAGTGTTATAAGAATTCTTTGGTATATGGACATGCATTGTAGGGTTGTTCATCTCTCCTCAAGGTTTCGTTAGAATATTAACGTCTATTCTTCGTTTTATTTTCCTATTGGCTTTTAAGATTTCGTTCTGATTAATTCGAACTGATCTAGATCGCATATATAATTTTGGTAGATGAGTCTCCTGACAGAGATTTTCTACATACACAAAGATGTAAACTCAATATTTATTTAAGCGATATCAAACTGCTTACCACTTGAACTAACATGTTGATAATATCTCTTAAAAACAAAAAGACATAAACTCGAAATTATTTAAATAATATCAAACTACTTACCACTTGAACCAATATTTTATAACAACTCTTCTTTTAAGATGTTGAAAATGAGACGAATATGAGCAAACGCATGTAATCAGTGTTTTGAAAACCGGACCAACCGGCCGGTTCAACGGGAACCGCTGCTTGTCCGGTTTATTTTACAAACCGGTTCTAGTGAACCCAAGGAACCGTTCAAACCGGCTTTGAACCGTTCGAACCGGCTTTGAACCGCTTGAGCCGGACCGGACCGTGAACCGGTTCAACCTAAATTTTTTATTTTTTATTAAATTTTTGGATTTTATTTAATTTTTTAAATAATTGATGTCGTCGGTTCTTACGATCGGTCTGACCAATTCGACCGATAAACCAATGAATCGACATAATCGATTCGTGACTGATCCAGTTGCTGACGATCCGGTTTTAAAACCATGCATGTAATCCGTGTTGTGATGAAGGACCAGAGTCGGTGGGTTGCGTCAAAAAGAGTCGAACACCAATTTGAACATCATCAAAGTCCACAACTTCGGCTGTCCAAACTCCTTTCTCTACATCTTTTTAATGATAAAAAATATGCCTAAATGTCCACACTGGTCCCCCCTCTTTGTAATCTAAACTAATCGACTCTTTTACATCATGGCGCGTAGCCTTAGCTTGTCTTAAATGCACTTAATCCTTCACTCTATACGCGAGATAGTCGCGCGTAGGTCTACCATTTGTCTTAATTTTTATTACATGAATTTCAACGACAAACCCTCCTGTCTAAGATATAAAGACCCACCTTTCTTCCTCAAAAATCATACTCATTTGTGTACGATTCAAACACAAAGCTCGCCCCTGTTTTCTTTTCTACTGTTGATTTGCTGACTGTATGTGAACCATTCTTTTTAGCAGCAGCATCTCACTATCCTACAGCCAAATCTCTGCTTCGTAGTTCTTACTAACCATGAGTGACACAAAAAGATCCATCTCTGGGTGTTTTTCATCCGTTTTGCGACGGATTCTTTGTTCGGAGAATCCTCAGACACACCCCTCGGGTTGCATTGTGGGGTCAAACACCATAGATGAAGTGGCCATGGTTCAAGTTCCAGGTTCTGAAAGTGGTCCTGGAATTGTGGCGAGGTTGATGGGGCTAGACTCATTGCCAGAAAACGACTGGATTCACAAAGGTAAAATTTCAGGCCCTGTTACCCGGAGCAGGTCTGTAAATTTCATGGATTACATGCTGGAGTTTGATCATTTAACACAAGCCAAACACCGTCGTGTCAAAACATCGTCTTCGTTTCGCGAGGTGCCGCAAGTATTCCGGCATAATCAGAGACAAGAATTCTTGGTTGTGTACTTGAACAATGAGGTTAAAAACAATGAAGCGGTAGGGCTTAGGCCAAGGAAATCAGAGAAAGGAGACGGATCGGGTACTAAGCAGCTAAGCAAAAGGACAACGTGAGAGACAAAGTAGCTTGTAAGAAACAGATTCGAGAGAAAAACAAGAAGATATCTATGCTTAAAAATGAATCAAGGGGAGTTACTGGTAAACATTCAAAGGAAATACCTGTGATGACAAGGAAGAAGAAGAAGAGCCAACGCCCAGTTAAAAAAATCGACTTCTCTGAACACCCATTTTCTGTCCTGCATGTAAATGACGGCATCTCAGGTTTCGGTTATAAATTTCATTTGCTTCTTTTTTTTTTTTACAAGTTTTGAAGCTAATTCTGTACATTTCATTGCCATCTAACTTGAGTAAATGTCCAAATTTTTCTCACATAAGATTCAAGGTTGTTGGAACTGAAATCGAAGAAGAAATGCTCATCAAAGTCGGTGAAACACGACTCCCCCACTAGGGATATTAATGCTTGCACTCCAATTGCTGATAAGTCAACGGATATGGAGGAAACTGGGTATTACATGGAGTTGATTGATAAGCTTAGCAAGCTGACAGAGGAAGATATTAAATTCGCAAACTGGGAAACCAAGAAAGTTTTCACGTTTCAAGAGATTTGTGCAGAGTTTGGGGAGCAAATACTTGATATCATGATGCACCAGGTAGCTGATGAACTTTGTGGGATTTCACCTAACATGTAAATTTGTGCAAAGAAAAAAAAAGCATTTTTTGTCACTGGTACACTCGTCTCTGCAACAAGATTGCAGCAAGATTCTAGTGTCGTGTGGCTTGGGAATGTGTAGGAACAACACGATGCATGTTCAGCAAATGTTGATGCTTTTTTGTAATAAAAAATACTAGTAGCAGATTTAATGGGGGAGAATTCTTCTCTGTAAACGTACATGGGCTTTCGTTCTGCAGCTTTAAGAAGAGAATGTACGTTTCCCAGTGTTCATTGATGTTGAGTTAGGTTTGGATTTGAGAATTATTTGTATGTATTGAAAACTATTTGGGGTTGGGGTTTGCTTTGTAAAGGCTTCTAGCGTTGGATTCTGCTATTTTGAGCAGGGAATGGGATGCGAATGTCCATTGTCATTGCAGAAAGTAATAGAAAAATCACCTACGTATAATCAATTTATTTTAGAATTTCAAGCATATTAAAATATACAAATTTGTTCAATATATCATATCGACTCATTTGGATATTGTCACAGTTTTTTTAATCTTATAATGAAGTCAAAATATTATCTTTGTCATGTAAGAAGGAAATATCTTATCTAGGGATGGCAACTCAACCCGAATCCGATGGGTTCCGACCCGACCCGACCCGACCCGATCGGGTCGGATTTTTTTAAAAAAATTTCGGGGTCGGGTCGGGTCGGGTTTTTTTTTAAATGTACTGTTCGGGTCGGGTCGGGTTTAGGGTAAAAAAAATCCGACCCGACCCGACCCGAAAATATATATAATTTTATCTTATATATTTAGGGATAATTACAATAATATCCCTCCATATATAATTTTTTTCAATTAAGTCATTGTTTTCATTGAATTAAATTTTTTTTTTATTATTTCGGGTCGGGTCGGGTCGGGTTTCTAAGTCATATATTCGGGTCGGGTCGGGTCGGGTGAAACATTAATTTTGTCGGGTCGGGTCACAGGTGGAAAACCCTTTCTTCTCGGGTGGGTCGGGTGGCCCAAAAACCCGACCCAACCCGACCCATTGCCATCCCTAATCTTATCTTAATCACACATCTAATCATATAATTTTGAGTAAAGTTCATAAATGGTTCATTGACTATAGAGAGCTATTTTGTTGAATTTCCGGTTATTAGAACTTATAAAATATTCCCGACTATAGAGAGTTGTTTTGTTGAGTCCCTCGACTATTAAAAGTTATAAAATGGTCACTTGACTATTCATTATGTTCCAAACTTTTCATTTTCGGTTGAAAAATTGACTGCAGTCTGAATTTGATGTTAACCTGATGATTGAGATATGATAAAATATGATCTCATAATCTCAAACGACTATCGTAACTCAGTTATCATGTTAACATTCAACTCATATTGTTGTCAATTTTGTGACGGAAAAAAACGAGTTTGGAACATAATAATATTCAACTTCCAATATCAAAATCACAACGATATCACTTAAGTAGGTATCGAGTTTGAGGTCTTGTGTACATAGAATTTTTTTTAAAGATTAATCTACCAAAATTAAATGTGTAACGCAAATTAATCCGAATTAAATACAATTCTAAAAAATGAGGAGTATAACAAAAATTACAACGATATCAAGTCCAAGAATCATATATCCTATTATAACTATAAAAATTGTTATAACTTTCACAAAACAATACAATAACACAAAACTAGAGATTGGACATAATAAATAAAACAATGTAATTAATATTTGTTATAATCATAGTATGGTTGATATTTGGACCTACTCTATCACATACGCGTTGGAGTTTCTTCTGGTGTGGCTTAGGGGTCCTAGACTAGGGTGTTGTAGGCTCATGGGCCAGGGTTTCTGTTTGGACTTGGCTGGCCTTTGTTTGGGTTGGATCCCTCGTCCCACTGTATATATCATATATATATATATATATATAAGAAAAAATATAAAGAAATATATATATATATATATATATATATATATTTGTATATAATTATAAAAATTATTTAAATTAGAATCAAATAGTATCATAATAGTAAAAATATTTACAATTAATATTAAATATAGACTCGAAAACTTGACCCAACTTAAATATAAAAAAAATGAAATCAATTTTAAATTATAAAATAAGATTAATCAATTTGAATAACTTAAAATTTTTGACTCGACTATACTTAACAGAACGCTCACGCCTAATGTCAAATACTTTTTTTTATTAAATAAAGTGTTTTTATTTAACTCGTGGTTTATAATTAAAATCAGTTATTATAAGTATTAAATTTAATAATTCGTTTAATTAAAATTAAAAAATAGTTTAACCGCACGTAAATAAAATTTTGAATTTCAAAACTTTAAAAATATCAAAATCTTATCTCATTGATTATTTAATAGTGTTTACAGATATATAATTATATATTAATGAACCAAAATAAATAATATTATTATTGAAATAATAATAAAAAGGGTAGAGGATGGTCCAATAGTTTGACCAACTCATAAAATTACAAGGAAGAAAGGAGCAAAAGTCAGCCCAAGTTCCTAAATTAAAAATTTTTACGTTTCATTCAAGACAGAATCAATTGAGCTTTTGGATGGTGCAATATCTGATTAAAGTAGTAAATAATCATTCATTCCCATTTGAATTGGACCCACCACCATATTAAATAATAATAAAATCACTCTTGACACATTTTCCTTGATTTGTAGGGTCACCGGCTTCCATTTTATTTTTTCATTAACTTTATAATATCATTAATCGATTTAGATAATCTCAAATTATCTCGTTTTGGACAAACTAATCAAGAACAGGCAGGATTTCCTTGATCTGATAAAATTGTTCTTTTAAATTTCTCAAAATTGTAAAGTCATTATTAATATGAAGATCAAAATAGAAATATCAAATCAATTAGAGTAAAAACAATGAAGTTGAGAATAATTAACACCCACAATCCTTAATAATGTTCATCCAATTAACAGTTTGAAGAAGTAGATAAGAGAGAGAGAAAAACAAAAGAAAAAAAGAGGGTTGTTGTTGACTTAATAGATAATTCTACTATACGACAACTTAATATAAGACTAAGGAAATATGTAACCGGAAGTATTAATATTTTTTTAATATTTACAGTAGAACGCTATCTAAAATGTTAATTTTATTACCTAATATGTTAATCTTTTAACTTTTTTGACTGCAACCGAAAATATTATTTTCTCTATAACATTTCCTATTACAATCGAAAACATTAAAAATATAGAAAAGAAAAAAAGTTGTTGAATCTTATTGCATCGGGATCGGTATGTAATAATTGTGGTTTGTGTAGAATCTTACTTTCTCCACTTACATTATGTTTTGTGACCCTTGATGTGATTGTTACTAATAGCTAAGTAATATTACTTTTTTTAATAGAATTCATAAGTTATCTGAATAACTAAATGTTGTTTTTAAAGATTTTGAGTGTGGGTAATTACATTTATAATGTGTTTATACGTCATTAATGATTAATTTTTTTTAAAAAAATATTATTTTATAATCACTTTAAAAAATATTAGTATAATAATTTTGTGTCCGAGGGTTGCTTAATTGCTTCATCACTAATCCATTTTCTTTTACTTTTTTATTCTCCTTCATCGAGATCTTTCTCGTATCTTAAGCTTCAAAAGTTTGGTTCTGAGTTTTAAAAAATGAAATGTAAAAGTATAAATTGAATAAATTTATTAAGTAGTCTTAATGGTTAAAGAAAATATTATTATTTTTAAAGATTTTGAGTTCTAGTAGTTGCATATACAAAGAGCAAAAATACATAAAATTCTCTTGCACTCTCAATATTCGATATATACATATCAAAGAATCATATGTGTCCCAAAATATCTTCTAATATCCCTACAAAACTCATCTATGTAATGATACCCCAAAGTTACATAGGTCACAAGAATGATTATATCTCTAAAAAAAAAATTCTCTCTCAAAATTATAAAAAATTAATACCTACTTTATATTTATAGAAAAAACAAAACTGGTCATCAAAAACCCTTACTCCATAAAAATTTTCATCTTAATAAATTTAATCATCAAATAATATTTAATTATTAGAATAATTATAAAACTCAATTTAATTATCTGTTAAAATTTAAGTCAATATATAACAATTATTATAAAAGTTAAGCTCGATCTAATAGAAGAAGTAAAATTCGTAACAATAGATGTATAAACTGAAAAGGTTAAGAAATTTGAAGTTTGAGGAAATTATATAATAAAAACAGTAGCTACGATTTTAGTTATCTATTTCGTGGTTTTAGGTATAATGCCAAAAAGAACCTTCAAATTTATCAAAATGATCATTTTGATCTCAATTCTTTCTTCTTCTTCTTTCTTTTGAGCATTTTAGTCTCGTCGTTCCACTTTGAGGTAAAAAACTACATCTATAGACTAAAATCATTAGTTAACACACATTTAACGCTCCAAAATATAAACATTTTTAATCTAAAATAAAATGTTGAGGGCTAAAATGTCCCATGAAAAACAAGAGACAAAACAATTATTCTATCAAATGTTAAGGATCTTTTTACTCTAAAATGAAACATTGAGTATCAAAATATTATAAAAAAATAAAATAGAGGGCAAAATGGTTATTTTAATAAACATTAGAAGCTACTTTTGGTTTATATCTTTATTAGATAGAATTCTATAAATTGAGTTCTCTTAAATTAATTTTTTAATTAAAAATATATTTTTCGTTAACTTTTTATGTAAATGATCGATAACTTAATATATAAATTTTATTTATAAGTTCCTTCTATAGAATTTTCTTAAAGAAAAATGTTCAATTGAATTTATTAAATAGTGTTGGTGATTAAAATGAGTATAATTTTTGAAATTATGAGTTCGAGCAACTGCGTTTACAGAACATGTATTGTCAATGATTTAGAAATATTATTAACGTATACTATCTTATAATCACTTTATACCATTAAAAACGGTTCAATTTCATTCTTTCAAAAAAATGCTCAAAATAAAAAAAAAATGAATTAAAATTCAATACTCCATAATTAATTGAATTAAAATCATATTTTAACTTAGGATGTAAAGTTTTGTTTTCTACTGCAGCCATTTCTTAGAAGTATTAAAATCTGGTCAAACAAGAATTTGGTTCATGTGGTTGCGATATGTACGGATTAAGCTGGCCTTCACATGCAAAACAACATTTCAAAGAATAATAGTCAACTTGGAATAAGGGGGAAAACACAAGGAGAATAAGTTGGTAATTCATGAAAAAACAGGTTATATAATTTGAATCTAATAAAAAAATATAATACATATTTTTGGTAAGATAATCAAAATCCCCATGGAACATGCTTTTCATTTAATTAATTCAAATAAAATAATGGTGTATTTCATGCCATTGACATCTTGTTCATTGATAAGATCCAAGTTCAAGGTTTGAGTTACTATAACTGTGATAATATATATGGGATTCAAGGGACCACCGATGACTTGAGTTAGCTGAGAAGCCAAATCTGAAGCTGACTGAAAATTTACACCTACTATTTTATATCTTAAGTTTTCTGCTCACATATCCATGCACGAGACATAATATATATATATATATATATATACCCGTCGGTGAATTTTATATCTCTGTTTCTCCTATGAGAAAACACGGTTATAGCGATAGCTGTCTAGCAAAGATGAAGCTTCTTTTTGTTGTATTTTTACCTGTTTCTGTATGTTTTCAAATCATATCTGAATCTATAGGTGTATTAAGCAGACGATGAAATTGTACGAAACATGATTGTCTTCAATATCCAATCCAGAACGGTAATAAGTCAATTCATTTGAAAATCAAATCGGCAAACATTATCCAAAACTAGAAAAAGCTGTTTTGCAATAACTAGAAAATATTGATGTAAAAAAAAGCTGTTTTGCAATAACTAGAAAATATATCATCAGTATTAGTATCAAGTGGGTTTGCAATAGGAACTGTAATTTACAAAACTAGTTGTCGACAAAAAGCCATAACTCATGCACGAGTCCCCAACTAATGAATGACTTCTGCAAGCAATAAGGGAGAAAAAGTGCTATGTGAATAAAGAGAGGCAAAACTCCAGCAGACAAATATGTGGTGCCATCACATGAGGACTCATAGCTTGCTTTCACACTTTTTCATATGCACTAAAATATTTCATTATTTCACTTGAAGACACTTTTTGCATGTAATGATCATTTAGCTACATTAAGCAATGTTTCATAGTTCAATAGAAATTAAAAAAGTATAATATGTCATAAAGATTATTATCTTATACACCAACGGTTAAAAGAATTTCAGAAGTAGTGTTATAACATTATCATATATCTTATTTAAGGTGTAAGATTTAAGATTTATGAGTTACACTTTAGGTCTAAATATGACACATGAAAGTATTAGATCTCATTTGTAGAATATTTTATTTTTATTACTAGTGCATGGAGTAATAAACCTATCATAAATACATATAGATGGTAGATGAAATTCTTGTTCCTAGCTAATTACCTCATATTTATTATTTTCTCATGTTTGAAGATGCTAGCTAGCTAGGCAGTTGTAACATATATAAACCCTAGAAATCAACCCCACATACTTGATCCATCTGTTATCATTATCACTACCACTGACGCGCAAAATATATTTCACACGATGAGAATGAAATACTAAGTTAATTATTGTACAAAGATCCTCATATCGTTTTACTAGTTATATATATATAAGATTTGTTTTAATAATCTGACGTGATTATAAGGTAATATATGTTCAGAACTTTCTTAACTAGTTGGCAACGTACACATATCTTGTAGATGCAACTACTCGAACCCAAGACCCTCTAAGGAGAATAACATTTTCTTTTATTACTGAAGCCACTTGATGAGTTCATGTATAAAAGATTTTTATGATAATATATACCTTAAAAAAACACATGCATGCATTTTAATTGAATGTAAAGTAATATGAATAATGAACGTATAATAGATAGCAAAGTTTGAAGTTAAATTTAGGTTCACATCACATGATACAAAGGAGGGCAAGAAATAATTCTTCTTCAATTATTTCTCATGGTGATAAATATGAACAAGGAAAGCTCGCATTGCAAGCCACCCAAACTCCATCAACTTAGTGTGAGACAGATACATCAGTTAGACAATGACTTAATTTAACAAGTATGAACATCAGAGAAATGAGGTTCATGTATAATCTATATATATATATATATATATATATATATATATATATATACTTGTCTAAGTTTAATATAGGATTTTTCAAGCTGGCACACAAGGTTACTAGACTAGTAGCAATTTAACAAATAAGCAAACCCGTTGATCTATAGTTAGAAATAGAATTAGCCGAACTTAACAAACAGGTTAAACTCGTTTCACCTAAGCTGCTAATTGAGATTCTTTGCCTGTTCTAGTTTTGCGTGGAGGGTAATCGTTTTAGAGAGGATGACTCATTTATGGTAACCTTCTTTATCACTCAATACTGGTTTACCCTACATGAACTCAACAGAAAAGGCATCACACACATATGGTAACCTTCTAATATGGGAAAAGTCATGCACATGATCAGCACATGTTTCGACATCCATTGCTTTTACTGTAATAAAACTTATGTTATTGATTGAGATCATGAATAACATGATGTGTTTTATTTCTTTAACGATATGCCTAGCCCTTGGAGTATTTAGTTTTTTATCCATGGTGGTTTGAGAATGTGCTTTCTTTGTCACCCTCTTCTGATGATAACATAATGACAATGAAGAAGATGAAAAAACAACACTATTTCTTTTATACTAGCAAAAGAACATATCGATTTCCTATATGTAGAAACAAGAGTTCTAGGACAAACCTCTCGAATAGAGCTTCATCTTTTGCTAAAACATTTGAATAAATAAAGACTTGTAGTAGTTCTCTACATGTGATGATCTTCTCTTCTGAGCTTGTTTAACAGTGCTGTGATAAGGGCATCTCGTTTCTCAGCCCTAGCTTCTTCGCTTATTCTTCTTTGCTCTTCCCTTTCGTACCATCTCCGGTCCATTAATAACCTTTCGTTCTCTAATGCTTCCATCTTCTTCCTCCATTCCATCTCCTTCGATCTCCTCTCGGTTTCCCTCGCCTCGAACGCTTCCCTCCATTGCATTTCCATCTCCATTTGTTGCCTCATGAAATCTTCTAGAATCTCCTTTATGCTATTAGTACTATTCCCGCTTGTACTTCCTGCTGCACCACTGGCTTTGCCTTGCTTCTTCTTTCTAACGCTACTCTTTTCTAACTCCTTTTCCTCCATGATATCTTCTTCCTCGTCCGAAGATAACTGCACCGCCGCCTTCCGTTTCAACCCGGTCGCCCCTCCTTCGGTTTCTGACAACATCATGCTTTGCATCCTTGCCGAGAGTATGGCTTGCAACTCATTGTAAAATGGGAACTGTTGCCGCATAGCTTCTTCTTCCATCATTTCACATCCCTGTGCGAATGTTACAGATATAAAAATAGGGTTTTCAAAATACATATATACGTATTAGGTAAACGAAACAGAGAAATAAAAAGGGTTACCTTGTAACGAGTGAAAAGGTTTTTCCACTTGCACTTGCACTGTTCAGCGCTGCGATTATAACCCATTTCCCTCATCCGGGTAGAGATAACTTCCCAAAGCAGCTTGTTCCTCTTGGTCTCCAAGAAACTCCGATCCAGCTCTGCTCTGATCGTGAGGAAATCCTTCGTTTCTTGAAGACTCCATTGAGGGAATCTATCGGCATCGACGCTAACACTGCTGGTAGGTTGTTGATGATGATATTGGTACTGCTGTTGAAGATGTTGTTGTTGTTGTTGATGATGATGATGATGGTGAGGGTGTCCTTCCATTACAAGTAATCACACGCAGAAAGGATTAGTTTTTGTTTTGCAGCCACCAAAAGGATTGTTGAATCTGAAAAGAGATGGATGTTTGAAAGAAAGAAGAAAAGTTGGATAGAGGAAGAGAAAGGATTTATATGGAGATGGTGTGAACAACAAGTGTGAACCCTCGAGAAAGAAAGGAAAAATCCTGAAGAAACCTAAAAAAAAAAAGAGAAAGGACAAAGAGATTTGCTATACGCTTAGGTGTCATAAAGAGTTTATTTATTAATTATCGTTCAAATTCAAGAAAATGAAATGGGAGAAATTCTTCTTCTTTTTTCCTCTATCTTTCTACGCGGAATCTCATTCTTCTTTTCATTTGTTTTTACAATTTGTTCCAGTTGCGTTCACTCCGCGTCAGGCTGACGGTCCACAAAGTCTCACTGCTGATGCCTCATGGACTGCTGGTGGGCCTTCTTTTTCTGCAACCGCTCATACAATTTTATTTCTTTCTTTGTTTACATTTTGTATTATAACTAATATAGGTCTAATTATAGTTAATATATTTATATTATTGAAATTTTATTCATTAAAAAATATAGTATATGTCAGAGACTATCCTAAAATTCGGGTCAATAGTTTGAGTCAGTAATCGAGTAATTTTCGGGATTTTTTTATAAAAATATTATTTTTGGATTTATAAATTTAAAATTTTATTATTAAGTGTTTAAATAATTTTGGAATATTAAATATTAATTTTAATATTATAAAATAGATTTATTAAAGTGACTAAATTGCATGATTTTAAAATAATGATTTTAGTGACCAAATTGTAAAGGATCAAAATATCAAAATCTATGGAGTTAATTTTACCAAGACTTGTAATTCATTCATCTTCCCTCCATTTTTAACAATGAACTTCATCTCTCTTTTGCCTTAATCCTTAGCTGCATTCATTCTCGCAAATCTTTTCATTTGTAACTTCATCTTTCATTTCTTTTCATTCTCTCCATCCAAACATAATTGTAATTCTCTCAAATTCTCTTAGAAATCTCTCCCATGGCCAAAGCTTTCCCTCTCCATTGGCTTCCATTTGCTTGCTGAGTTTTTTTTTTCCTTCTTGATTTTCTCTTCCGATCATCATGCTTCATCTTCATCTCCATTGTCTCCCTTTGCCTACTTTCGTTTCGTTGGTGTTACCATTGTTGATCTTCTTCTTGATTTCTTCCATCTTCATCTTTTTTTCATCAATTCCAACAATGTTGATGTTGTTGTTAATTGACGCTCTTCAAAAGTGGTTCATGTTCATGTGTACTCAAGAGATCATATGTTGCTATGTTCGTTAATTGAGTGTGTGGTGTGTTTAGACAAGTGACACTAAGTATCCCTAATATGTTAGACTCATAGGGTTATTATTGGTTAACACGGCCACGCAGCTCCAACACTGCTGTCTCCTTCATGCGACGCTTGGTTGGAGTCTGTAATGGTGTGGTTGTCACCCTCCCACTTTACCGACTTATGGTTGATATTTGGTTAGCGATTACATTTCAATGTCCACATATCATCATTGAGAATGGCGCCTCTAATTTGGTTCGCCAATTACTTAGTCAACGTATTGACATATCTGTGATGAGGTTTTATCTTGTGAAAACACGATAACTCACGGTGGATTTTCCTTGTATTGATATTTTCTACATCTGACGTAACGCCAGTTTTACCGTGCACGCTCTTGCTCGTTGTATTAAAATAAACAAGTTTTAACACAGTAAAATTATAATTAGGAGGAATAATGAATTGCCAACTCTCCATTATGAAGTGAATGGTAACGCTTTTTACACATTTTGCATGGATTTCCCAAAGATGCATTCAACTTACTATTTTAGTTTCGCAAATTTTGGTTTAATTTTTATTATTCATAAATTAATTATTGTTTTCGCATGGATCATCACAGTCACAGACGCGTTATTCAGTCATGTCCCACGTGTAGACGCTTCTCACAGTCGTACACGTGGAAGCATGCATGTGAAAGAGATCGGGACCCACTTGGCCTATGGTTCACACCTATAAGTCTAGTCTCCCCTTCTTCCCCAAGTAATTTTTAAATTTTCTGTCAAAATAAAACATATATGAAAATGAGTAGGAGAATTTTATAATTTGGTTTTTCTAATAAAGACCAGAGATGAATTCAAAGTCCAACATATTTTCTTATACGCTAGTCGAATGAACTTTGAAGTTTCAAATTTTAACCTTTTTTTTTGGCAACTAAAATAATTTGATCTCTTTTTAAAAATTTCAGTTAAACCTTAAGTTATATTATTTAGAATGATAGAGCAAGGAAAATATAAATTTAATAAATTTGAGGATGTTAGTTAATTTTAAAGACAAATTAAAATTAGAAAAGATCAAAATAATTTAAAAAAAATTAAATTTAGACTAAATCAAATTCCAATTTAATAATAAACATTCTTAACATTATTTTGACGCAAAATAATAATATTAGTCTTATATATAATAAATAACCACAAGCTTTTAAAATATCAAACATAAACTATCATAATTTTAAATATCTAAAGTGCGCCTCTAAAGTGAAACTTTAAAATATAAAATCCTAGCGTTTTCTTCCTCATATTTTCTATCCCGTCGTTGGTCTTTTTTTTTTCCCTCAAATTTTTGTTAGCGGGAGATTATGTGAGTTTTGGTGCTCGTTGTCGTTGTCGATATTTTTAATAATTCTTATTTTTTATTTTTAATAATTCTTATATGATATTGAGTGGTTAATTTTTTAATTATTATAGAAAATATCTCAATTATATATTTAATTTACAATTTTAATTATAATTTTAGATAAAATCTAGGACAATAGTAATTTTCCATCAACAATCATCAAAAGAAACATTGTCAAATTAAAGAAATAATGTGTACAAAAAAATCCCTAAAATGTTTTTCACTCTTGATTCTTGAACCAAGGGGCGGTGGTTGAAGTGGAAGAGCCTTTGACTTTGGGGCTGGAAACCCTTCAAAAATTACCACCTCCATTCCAAATTCATAGGTATAGAAAAAGGGTTGTTCAACGAGCGGCAATGGCCCCAATGCATATCTTACACGTCTAGTTTTGCCGATTTGCATAAGCAATAAAAAAGAAAACAAAACTGGTCAAATCCCATCGTCCGTGCTATTAGTTTATCCCTTTAATGCGGTGTTATTAAAATAATGGGACAATAAGACAATGAGATGCTGAAATGTTTTACCCATCTTGAAAGACGACAATTTAGATAACGTGGGATCCTAAAGCAAACCCTAAACAGCTTTAGCTTTAGCTTTAGTGTAGTAACGATATGCCTACCCACTTCAACTCATTTAATCACAGCTGATCAAGATTAAGTAAATTAATTAAATACTTTATGATAATTATAAAATAATATTTATTTATAATTTTTTAATTATTAAAAGCGCACATATACTCTGTAAATGTAATTTCCTCGAATCTTAAGAGAGAATGATATTATTTTTAACCCGTTAAACTATTAAATGAATAAAAAAAGAGAGTGTGGGTGTAGGGTCAGTGTAGGAATATCCGTGGTTAGGTTGTTGGAGATCCTGTGCAAATTCTTGTAAAGGGGCCCTTAGATCTCGAACTTATTTTCTGAAATAATAAAAAATTTATAGCTGTATTACACTGAGCAAACCCACTTGCATTGTTTTCCCAAAATAATTTTGCTTGTTAACAAGATTCAAACTTAGGATCAACAAAGTCATTGGCCCAATAATCTAATCACTGCTCTATACCTATTTTTCTTCTTCTTAATGACAACAACTGATAAATATATTCGATTTCGAGATTCATATTTTTTAAAACCCTACACCGTCGCACACTTTGCACACCTTCAATCACGCCCCTAAAAATATTAAGAAAGGGGATAGTACTCCTATATGCGTATGGAGAGAATTAATGAAGCTAAACGGTTATACCTCTTTTTAAGGTTCATAAAGGTTGTTAATGTGTATTGAATATTGTTAAAATATTATATTTGTTGACATGTGTTAATATAACTAAATTTTAAGTGGCCGTCTGGTACTTTTATAAACAGGAAGAAATCGATAGGGCAACAGTCTTGTAATGAAGACTGTCCTTTTGGTAGCTGCACATATACCTAATTTTTAAGATTGATAAAAGGATACTCCCAACTATGAAGGATGGTATATTTTTCGTTATATAAATTTTAAAAATACTATTTATAATATATATAAATTTCATTATTATTATTCTTTAGGATTTTATGTTCGAACCTCATAAATATTAGAACTGTGAAAGTACATATATTATTTTATATTTTAAAAAAATATTTGAATAAAAAATTGAACAAATATTATTATTAAAATATTTAAAAAATTGATAAATGCAATTAATTATGAAAGGACATTTTCTTCAGCCCGACAATGGTAGACGGATGATACATGGCTAGCTGGTACATATCGTACTCCACCAACTAGATTTGTCGACTCAAGTAAAAATCGATTGGTCTGACATTTTAATTAAAATAAAATGATGGTATTTTTTAAGAATTGATTCAAATCGGCTAGTCCATCTATGGGTATTGGTCGGGTTATATTGAATTTTTGGTTCACTCGATTCAACCCGAGAACAAGGAGTTATCCACTCAAAATCTGACCTGATCCAATTAAAACAAGATTTCACTCGACCCGAATCTGACCCGATATATAACTTAAAAAGTCGATCCGACCTAAAATAATAAAAAATAGTTTTATTCAATAAAAACAATGACTTAATAGAAAAAATAATATATAGAGGGATATTATTGTAATTATTTCTAAATATATAGGGTAAAATTATATATTTTTTTCGAGTCGAGTTGGGTATTTTTTACCTTAAACCCGAACCCAAACCGAACATCACATTTAAAAAAACCTGACCCAACTCTATTTTTTTAAATCCCGACCCGATCGAGTCGAATCGAGTCAGAATCTGTTGAGTTCGGATCCCATGCCCATCTCTAAATCCATTCGCTTGTCTATGCTTTAAATTTTTCTAAAGTAATTTCGGCCTAAATTTTGTTTTAAACTTTGGCCCAACTACAACCCAATTTAATGGATAATCCAACATTGAGAAGGTCTAATTCTAAATATGACCCTCAAAATGTTGGGAAAAGGTTAAGAATTAATGAAACATATTGAAACGTTATTTGGTACTCATGGGAGCGGGACAGAGCTAAAAAATTTACTTT